CAGATTTTGCTTAGCAGACAATTCGTTTATGTGCGAGGCTATCTTGCAAAATAAAAGTATCCTTAGTAAAGCAAGTTGTTTGCGACACTTGCGCCTTGCTTGATATTCTTTGATACTTCATTTGTTTTGAAGCTTTAATTATTTAACTTTAGCTGAATTATTTGTTTTTTTTCCTGCGTATACTGTAAGTCATATCCTCAAAGTACATTGAGCTCGAGCTCTATCAAATCTAGCTGCTTGAATTTTTATCAGTTTACTGCGAGCTTGGCTTAGTTTTCTTTGAAGAATGAATTAGCATTATGTGATGATTAGTTTACAGTGTACATTTTTCTTTCTGTTGTCACCCCAAAGAATTATAAAGATTCTAACATTATATCGCTTCAAACTTTTGATCTTTGATTTGTCTTACTTGTACTCGTTCAATTTTAAACTTATTGAAGGGTTTGGTTTTACGTTGATGTAAGACTGCGTGATTGAGCTGAAACTACTTTTAGAAACTTTCTAAAAGCTTAAATTTTGAACCGCCTGAATTAATTAAATGTTGCCCATGGCGAGCCTTTCTTTTTAACCAGTACATTCACCACTGCTGATGGGTCACTTTCTAATTCTGAAAACTTTGGATGCATTGGCGGTGCGTAATCTACATCTTTCATGATTGCGAGAAATATATTTCCAATTTTTTTTGTTATTTTTGTTCGTTTTCAAAAGTTCTATATTTTTTTCTGTATAATCGGGTACGGTTAATTTGCGGATATGTACAAGAAAAATTAATGTTAGAGCTGGCGAAAGTGAATTTTGTTACTGACTGTTTATATGTTCCTTCTGTTTTGCTTTCTCTTCTTTCTACTTTCGTTAGCAAAGACCTTTGGCTGGTTAGTCTGTAGCATCTATTTATTTATTTTTATTTTCTTTAAAGTATATCTGCTCATGTTTCTGAAAATGAGGCTACGTTGTGATACCGTTTTTTATATTCAAAAATGTTTATACAGAGGTATTGTTGATTATGGTTCACTGTATGTCTGTATGTTTTGAAAATAAAAACAGGATTCAGCTGGAAGCTTAATCTTTGTAATATCATTATTATGCACTATCGTGTATAAGCATTTAAATTTATTTGAATCCTGATTTGTCGAATTTTCACAATTTATTAGCAAAGTTTTGTGAGTCATTATTAAAAGATCCAATTTTAATTGCATACGATATAAGTGGTAAAGAAGTTTTTTGGTGATCTTTGAGCGATTTGTTTATGGTGGTTCGGTGGTTTAGGGCTTTGGAAATTACTTGTTATTTGACATTTCTGTGACATTTTTTGGGAACGGAATTTGATAAAATAAAAATGATGCGGAATAGCTGCGATAGATTTCTATACTAAGTTGTTATGGTTTAATTATAACAGTAACTGGATTTACATTTGCCTCATCTAAGTCATGAAGCTTTGCAAAATGAATTTTAATGGCTTTCTAAGAAGGGCAGCTTCTTGCACTAGAACAAAATTTTTGGACAGAAGATGATTGTGTTACGTTTAACTTCTGGAAGCGAACAACAGGGCGTCACTGTTGTAAGATTTATGTTTGAATGGCTTACCAAAGCGGTTACTCGAGCAATAATCGTCTGTTTTTGATGAAATTTTGGTTACAATGTTTGGAACAGATTGGGTTTAAAAGGCTAATTGAAACTGTCGGGCACTGAGACCGTAAAGTTAAGACGTCAGAAATTTTCAGAACCAGATCTTCTTGAGCAATAAGAGAGTATTAACAAATAAAATAACCACATATTTTTCTGCTCTTCTTCAAGCAGTTTCAAAAGAAAAAAAAATTTTTTGATTAGTGTTATTGTTAATGAAGCCGATTTGTTTACAGAGCATAAAATACAGCTATTTTGATAAAAATTTGTTTAAATGTCAACTATTAGTGGTGTGCAGTATTTTAGTTTTTTGAAATATGGATTTTTTTAAACCCATTTTTATTATTCTTTTCCTTTTGGCATTTTGACACGAAGTATTAATAATTCCTTAGTTTACAAGTCTTTTTTTTCCGCTTTTTTCTTTAATTACTTTCAATAAAGAACTTAAAGAAATTTTGCACTATTTACGTGATGACGTGAAAACTATTTGCGTAATAGTACCGCTCTTCTTCAGGATAAAAAGCTTGCTTATTGTCGTCTTTTGTCTTGAAAGTCATTTTTTTGATATAATTTAAGGCAGTGCTTTACTGTTCAGAGTGAAGTTGTTCTCTGCTGCATTTACTTAGGATATACAAAAAGTTTTTCAATACAATTTTTCTGAACATCAATGTAGTTTATGCTGAAAGTTTGCTTAAATGTCAAAGCGATGTTACGTCAAGAAATTTAGAACTAGATTTTACAATTTTTAGGACGGTTGTGGTTATGGATTAGGCTGATAGTAAAGTACAGTGCAGAAGGTGACAATTTTGATTATGTCTTAGATAAGTGATTAGAGTGAAGTTGACTTGAAATATTTTTTTTTCGAAATTATTAAAAAATTAAGGGTATTTTTGAAGCTTTTTCAGATACAGTTCTAAAAAATCTGTGTTTTTTTTTTGGGGGGGGGGGGGGGGTTGTAGTTGACAGTGGGGTTTTCCGGTTCTTGCTGTTAGATATCTATAACAAGGGTGAAAATAAATACATTCAAAAGTAAACTGCATACTGTTTGAAAGAAGAATAGGTATCAGCGATTATTGAACCAACTTATAAGTCTGGAAAAAAGACGGTGAAATTTCTTCTAAGGGTAAACTATTTGATTATTAATATAGTGGATAATAGTTAAGACGAGTTGGCTGTAGTTGAATTTGCATGATTTTTTAGTTTAACTAAAAGCAAAGTGATTGTTTTTGACTTTATTCATCATTCTGTTTGTGGTTTGGCAATCTGACATTGATGTAAAATTAAATCAAATTTGCTATAGAGTAATATTCGTACAAGAAGAAGAAGAACTGGAAGTGAAAACAATTTGGTTAGGTGCAATTTTGCATCAGTTGTTGCATTCTTTTCTGTAGCAAAATACAGTTACTGTTTTAGTAAGAATTAAGTTTGTAATAAAGTGACCTTTTTCAAGAAAAACTAGTAGCAAAAAGAAGTTTATTTTTAGGCATAGTTTGGTTTTTTCCTATCTCGTTATGATATCGTCATCTTGGCTTCACTGTGTAACAAGAAGACCATAGAACACTTATCACCAATAAATTTTAGAAAAGAAGTTGAAATACATAAATTGAAAGTGGAATAATGGTTGCTTTAGTAATTCTGAACATGTAAAGGAACTTTTTTTTCTTGCAAAGAACAAAGGAGGACAATGGCAAACATGTGCTCTCTGCTATATCATACAAAGTAAGCTCTTCAACACTTCGATTATTTATACAATTATAGCATGGCCGGGCTTTGGCTTTTATGCGAGTTATTTTTTTTTTTGACTTCAATTACTTATTCTGTGAAATACTGTGCGAGAGCTATTAAAATCAAATTGAAATAGAATTTTGTGGCTTTCGATTAGTTCAAATTTTTTACGAGAATTGATTTCTCAAAAAACAAAGGAGTAAAGATACTAGAAAGAAGGGAATGAGTTTTTTAGCTTTAGTGGAGCTGGTAGATATTTAATAGTTTTTAGGTGCTCTAAAGATATAGTTTTTAGGATTTTACAAATTAAGTAGGGAACTTAGTGCGGGTTGGATGAACGACTAGATAAAAGTGCCACAGCAAAGTAAAAATTTTTTGTTCTTCACAATTTTCCAATCAGCAGTTTTTCTTTCTCATTACAACCTTTTACAATGATTGTTTAATTGGTTAACCGAATAAAAAAGCACCGTTGTTTTGCATTTTCCGGGAAGAATTCCAGCACAGTGTCATCTCCTAAAAGAATGAAGTTTCAGATATTTATACAATTGTCGTTTAAAGAAGTTAATTTTTAGGATTGAACTGTAGAGGCAACTAGTATTAGATGTATCTTTTATGACAAAACTGGATGATCGTGCAATGTTAGCATATCATTCGAGAACTCTAATTTCAAAGATTGAAAGTTATGCATGCATGGCAAATAGTGACGGCGGCTGAACCACATTTTCCGATTGCTTTCAACTTCATCGAAAATTGTTCTGGAGATTCTAAATATTTCTTTTACTGCCATAGTTTAACATTTTACTGCTATTTATTTTATAGTACGTTTTTTTAACGTTTTTCTCTGAAAAGCCTATCCTGAATTTGTTCAACATTTGACAGTCAAGCTGTTTTTTTAAAGCTTTGAACTGTAATTTTGGCGATGAATGATGAAGACATTGTGCGAAATTGATGTTAATCTGTTAATAAAACTTTCTGAATGTAGCAGCTGGATGCCCATGTGGCTTGCAAAAATATTGTTGATATATCGAAATATCAAAGGAACATAAGTTTTTTATCAGCGATTGCTTAGGAAAATAGAAAAAAAAACATTTCGGTGTAGACACAGTCATCGGTTTAAGCGGTGTCGTTCGGTTTTATTTAACGAGAACGGAGCCGATCAGCAATTTGCGGTACATT